ACGCAGGCGAGTCCAGTATTGTTGGTGCTTCTGAAGCAGCAAAGGTCAAGGCTTTTGAGCCGTGTGATGCTCGTTACACTGATTACACTCCCTGTCAAGATCAGAGACGCGCCATGACTTTCCCGAGAGATAGTATGATTTACCGAGAAAGGCATTGTGCTCCTGAGAAGGAGAAACTGCATTGTCTTATTCCAGCCCCTAAAGGATATGTAACACCTTTCTCTTGGCCTAAGAGTCGAGATTATGTGCCTTATGCTAATGCACCGTATAAAGCATTGACTGTTGAGAAAGCTATTCAGAATTGGATTCAGTATGAAGGTGACGTTTTTAGATTCCCCGGTGGTGGAACTCAGTTCCCTCAAGGTGCTGATAAGTATATCGATCAGCTTGCTTCAGTCATACCTATGGCGAACGGAACTGTTAGGACTGCTTTGGACACCGGTTGTGGGGTAATGTCTTATATAAAATTTCTGAGTTTGTATACTTCAATAATTACATGGTGGAACTAAATTGAAACGTTTTGTTAGGTTGCTAGTTGGGGAGCATACTTATGGAGCAGAAATGTGCGTGCCATGTCTTTCGCACCAAGAGATAGTCACGAGGCTCAGGTTCAATTTGCTCTCGAGAGAGGTGTTCCCGCTGTTATTGGTGTTCTTGGCACCATAAAGTTGCCATACCCAACACGGGCTTTTGACATGGCTCATTGCTCTCGGTGTTTGATTCCATGGGGAGCAAATGGTTAGAACCATTTCTGATTCTAATTTTCTATCAGTTTGACTTTAGCTTTGTATAGAAAAATATCAGTCAGTAACAGTGCTGATTTTGTGTTTTAACAGATGGGATGTACTTGATGGAAGTTGACCGTGTGCTTAGACCTGGTGGCTACTGGATTCTATCTGGTCCTCCAATCAACTGGAAAGTTAACTACAAGGCATGGCAACGTCCCAAGGAGGATCTTCAAGAGGAACAAAGAAAGATTGAGGAAGCTGCTAAACTTCTTTGTTGGGAGAAAAAGTACGAACATGGTGAGATCGCAATCTGGCAGAAGAGAGTCAATGATGATGCATGCCGATCAAGGCAAGATGATCCTAGAGCCAATTTCTGCAAATCTGATGATAGCGATGATGTCTGGTAAGTATCATTTGTTATGACCTCATTTTTCTTCCTTGTTAGAAATATGATTCACCACCAAGTTTAGTTGTTTTGGCTCTAATCATCCCTCTTCTCTAGGTACAAGAAAATGGAGGCATGTATTACTCCTTATCCAGAGACAAGTAGCTCAGATGAAGTAGCTGGTGGTGAGCTTCAGGTTTTCCCAGATAGGCTCAATGCAGTGCCGCCCAGGATCTCTAGCGGTTCTATCTCTGGTGTTACTGTTGATGCCTATGAAGATGATAACCGACAGTGGAAAAAACATGTGAAAGCCTACAAGAGAATCAACAGTCTACTTGACACGGGAAGGTACCGTAACATCATGGACATGAACGCAGGGTTTGGTGGATTTGCTGCGGCTCTCGAATCTCAGAAGCTTTGGGTTATGAATGTTGTTCCTACAATTGCCGAAAAGAATAGACTTGGAGTTGTATATGAACGGGGACTCATCGGTATCTTCCACGACTGGTAAGTTTAAAAGTAATCCCTTCTTCAGAAACATCTTCCCAAAATTCATTGTTTCTGGTTTGAGAGACTCTGTTCTGGTGTAAATGGTTTTCAGGTGTGAGGCTTTCTCTACGTACCCAAGAACATATGACTTAATCCACGCAAACCACCTCTTCAGTCTCTACAAAAACAAGTATGTTATATGTTTTGTTCAATGACTCGTAACTATAATTATCTGGAGGTTTTTTTAAGAGTACGCTAATATGGATCTGAAACACTCTTTAGGTGCAATGCTGATGACATTCTTCTGGAGATGGATCGAATTCTTCGACCAGAAGGAGCAGTTATAATCCGAGACGATGTGGACACATTGATCAAGGTGAAGAGAATCATCGCTGGAATGAAATGGGATTCGAAGCTGGTTGATCATGAGGATGGTCCTTTAGTTCCTGAGAAGGTTTTGATTGCTGTGAAGCAGTATTGGGTCACCAACTCCACCTCGTCTCACTAAAGCTTCTCTTTCACTCTGGGGGAACCTGACATTTTGATCAAATGATAGAGCTTTCGTCCTTAGGGAATGTGAGAGAGCTGCAACCTCGTCTTTGAACACTTTTTGAAGTATCTATTTATTAAATGTAATAGTTTATATTTGTTTCCCTATCCAAAAGCTTGGAACGTTGTGGTGTATCATTGAATTCTCAACTTAATAGTTTTTACACAAGCCACCTCTTTTCTTCTCTTACAAACTCCAATTTGCATAATCAACGAGCATTGTGTCTAGTACACCACAACCTGTAATGTATATATACAAATCTCAAACTCAAGGCAAGAGAGAAGCAAATGAGCACTTCTTCTGATTACAAAGTAAAGTGTTCTAAAAGCTCAGGCTCTCAACTCAATCAGTCTTTAACTTGTTTAGTTTGACGAGCTTCAAATCCACCAACTTTTTTTTTCTCAAGTGAGCAAGGCATGTAAGTACCGATAATCCGATACCACATTACAAAGAAAGGCAAAGAGAAGTTGACTTTGTTTCCATAAAGCTGACGATCCACATCATTATACGCATTGTTGTTCTTGAACTTGGAGGAGATTCCAGGGGAGACAAGAGTCTGCAGTGGTCATCCACAGTCAAAGGAGAAGAAGAAGATCGAAGTTCTTGGAGACATACCCGAGATGAGAAAAGATAAGGCGCCACCAATTGTTTTAAGGATAAGTCCTTCAACTGGATGGTTGTATAGAGGTCCATAGGCATAGGGAACAACAAGCCTACGGTGCTGAGAGTGGATATGTTTGTATAAGAACTTGTTGTGATGCATATACCGATGCATGAAGTATATATTGCCATGTGTCAAGGACTAACATGGCGGTAACACACTGGCTAACTAGAACCAGTAGGGAAGATTGTTCGAAAATGGTTTGATGCAAGAAGAGAGAAAAAAAACTCTAGACTCAAACATTCATAACATGAAGAAACACCATGGAAAAGTTCATCCTAACATACAGAGTTCAACGGATGTAATGACATGTGATTAGTTAATCTACTAAATACATTGAGCACCAGTCATAGCTTCAGAAATACAGAACATGTCCAAGTCATAAGCATGAAACTTCTGTGAGAAAATTTTGCTTCAAGATCCATCAAATGGTTTTGCAAGACAGTGAAAAATTCTACCACAAAGAGCTCCAGAGATTTGATTGCATGAAAGAGGTGTCAGAAACATCAAGTAAAAGACTATGATCTATGAGACACACGTTTTGTATAATCTACAACAACAGACTCCCACAAGAGCCGGTGAACATTTTCTTGTGTCATGAAGCTAAAACAAGAATTCCATTATGCTAACCTTACGGGACACTGAACAACCAATGCCAGGCCCATAACAGGAGACTACACCACTGATTCCTGGTTAATATAAAGATCATTCTTTTACATCTCAAAACGAACACAGAACTATCCATTCTCTATTCCCACAAAAGGATTCAGAGAATGATTATCTAAACATTTGAGATCAGTTCTGTAAAAGAACAGAACAACCAATTAATGATTCTTTCAGCTTATATGCATTCATTTCAATCCAACAAGTAAACATCACATTACTAATCATTTTCATACCCAGCAAATTAGACATCAAAAGGTACATAGATGTGGCAAGTTTACTGTGAAAAGAAGGATAGCGACGATGGCCCGAATAAACTGTTGGAGAAGAACAGAACACCTTTAACAACATTGGACTTGGAGACAAGATTCTTCTCCTCTTCAGCAACCTTGGAATGTAATCTATAACTCTCCAACGAAGATAGCCTACATAAACCAAAGAGTTAACCCAATACACCACTATAGAAGCATTTGCTCCTAGTAATTTCGTCAGACAGAACAAAACCTATCTTCCTATTCCACCTTCTGATCCTTCCACACTTGTGGGAATCAGTAAAAAATGTAACGGGAAAATGCAGAATTATACGTAGAAAATAAACTGGAATTTGAAAATTGTAGAAATGAAAGAGTACAATGGAGAAATTAGTAATAAAAACTCAAAAAGAAACTCTAATGATTGGAAAAAAAAAGGTAAGGTTCTTTTAGGATTTACAGTTTTTGATTATGCGAAATCAATCATCGGTTATTTGGGGAAGAAAGAGACACAGAGAGACAGTAAAAATAAAATAAAATATAATAAAATATTCTCTCTATATATACACACTATTACTAACCCTAGTTCTCATTTCACTCTCACTCTCTCGCCGCCGCCGCTTTGATATTCCCTCTCTCTCTCTCTCACTCTCTTCTTGAGATGTTCTTTGATATTCCTCTCTCTCTCTTCTTGAAATGTTCTTGCTTTTATGCTTTTTTCATCGATTTCTTTTTGTTCCTTCTGTTTGGTATTGTCTTGGATGAGGTTATTGAGGATATTCACCAACTCTTTGCTGATGATGACGCCAAATATAAACATAAATCAAAACCAACTAGTAGTTAACAGCAAAGAGTTGGTGAATGTCCTCAATAATCTCGTACAGTAATCTGGATTGGATAATAAAATCAACTGAAATAACAAATGGAAATATAAGAACCGGGCTTGAAAAAATTCAACAATAATGTAAGAATGGGGATCGATTGGTATATAATTGATCTTCTAATACTGATGTAATAGTTAACAATAATGTAGTTAAGAAATTTAACAATAATGTATGTAACTAATATATTGGGAACTTTTATTTAGTTTTTTTTTTATATGCAATACTAATAGTGGACTGTTATATAGAAAATATTATCAAGTTGAAATTCTATGCTGAGATTTATAATGTTATTGATCAATTTATAATGAAACCTTCCATTTTATATATATATGATTCAAATTATCAAATTTTTCTAACGTGCGTATTTTTGCCAAGGAATCAATACAATGTGTTTGAGGGAAAACATTTCTTTTCAAGGATTGTTATTTTACACATACTTCATGTGATACATACTTCATGTGATGAACACAACAACAAATTAAAATGGATCTGGGACTAGATGTGCAAGATTATGAATCAACTCGCAACTCTTATGTCTCTATCTTCTTTGGGAAATTGAGACTGGCCTGTATAACTCTCTTAGTTCCTGGAAAGAAAGCACAATATTCAGAAACATCAGCAACAAAGAAAACAGACATCTAATCAATTCTTGGTAGGTTATAGTTTCACTTAACAAAAGTTAAGCACCTTTCTCTGGATTCTGTTTGATCGAATTGACGACTGTAGATTTCCAGTCCTCATACTTAGCCTCTTCCATCTTCTTTTGTATTTTGTAACATGAAGACTGCAGAAGCAAATTATATGTAGTGTGAATCAGAAATAGTCACAAGTATGTGCATTTGATAACTCAAAAAGAGAGAATGATACCAAACAGATTACAGGAAAGAAACCAGTTGCCAAGAAAGTACCTCTTCATCAGATGAATATCCACCATCCTCTAGTCTCCTCTTTCCAGGTAACACATCAAGCAAGTCTGAGGACAATTTTGCACATATTTACTTACTGTGTTCAATTCAATGACTTGAACTCAAGCAGAATTGATTGACAATATATCAAGACTAGTGTTGAATGTAAGACGAGATTAATGATTTTCCCTAAAGAGAACTGATTGAGCATACCTCGGTTTCCTTTCACTTCCTTTGCATCTTTCTTTTCCTTTGAAATCCCAACGCAATCAAAGCAAAGGTCCGTCATGGAGGTTGAGACCTGTTTAGTAATCCATGTAGTTCCAAATCAGTACTTGAACCAAGTCATGCATTAGAGAAATTAGCGTGTCTGGATGAAATAACACTTACGCAAGAGAATTCTGACTCTGATGTTCCACAAACCTCAATCAACCTAAGCTTATCTACCTTAAGCTGAAAAATAGATAACACAGATAAGGTTCAGAATCTTAAGGTATTCTGAACATCCCTCTAAAAGGAAAGATATTAAGGTATTACCTTCTGCTTTTTAGCACATAAAAAGAAAGCAGCTGCTGTAAATACAGGTCTAGTAAAGTCAGCATTAGCCCGTCTCGATGCTGGTAGTGATGCTAGAAACCGCTCCTTGTACCTTAAAGAGTAACAAATTCAACAAGAATATAAGCAAATGATTGAAGTTAAGAATGCAAACATGACCAACAAATTCACCAAGAAGATAAGCAAATGATTGAAGTTAAGAATGCAAACATGACCAACAAATTCATATGGGGCATTTCAACAAACATATGAAATGCAAAAACTATAAGTAAATAATGGAAACGGATAGAGACACCACAAAGGCAATAGAGGGCTTACGAAGAAAGCAAATTTTGCACAGATTTGATAATCCTAACGCAACCAAACTGAACAGCCAATTCTCTTACATTGAGCTTAATCCTGAAACGTCCATTAAATACACACATCAATCAATATAACTCCACCACCAACATGATTCATAAATTAAAGTTAAAGTAAAAGACTTGAAAAGGAAACTCACTTGACCCCAATAACGTTCTGAAGGCTATTGAATGATCTAGAGTAAGCCTTTTCAGACATACCACTCAACTTAATCGCTGCTTGTCTATCGAAAATAATCTGCAATCTAGCAATAGATTCGAATCGATTACATAAGCTACTGCAATAACCAACTATCGAAATCGAAATTTTGATACAATCAATTGAGAAAATTTACCTAGAGGCGGCGATCTCCATACATATCACAGCTTTACAGATCTCACCCTGAGAAGAATCAAAACAAAAACAAAAAAAGCCCCGATTTCAAACAGAGAACACGGAATGAATCAAAATAAGACTTTGGGATACGGAATCGAATGACTTACAACGCCGATGATGGATGAATCGAACTGGGCATCACAAAGACGGCGGATCTCCGCAGCTTTTCGGATTAAAAGCTTGTTGTTATCGAGGCCCAGTTTCTTAGCTATGCCGGAGATATCCATATCCTCTTTCAGAAAATTCCCGGCGATTGTAGAATCAAAGACACAGTGTCAGTGAGAGAGAGATATTTTCGAGAAATGTCAATGGAACTACCGATTAGGCAAATGCAAAACGCTGTTAAAGAAAACGTTGCCACCGTTTGGCTACGAAACGGAGTTTGGCGGGATCTTTTACGACCGATTGAAATTTTAGCCGCGAAGTTTTTTTTTTTTGCGCTTAACTAATTTATAATAGGCCTGGAAAGGCCTTATACCGGCCCATAACTTCCTATGTTAAAATAAAAGTATCCGATCAAATACGACAGAGTTAAGGAAACAAATGTATATTCGAGTAACGGTAGTAACACAGTGTTGGTTGATTCGTTCTTACCGACTACCGTACACAGCTAAGAAGCTTTTACACCAAACAGAAGAAACAAAGCAAATAAACAGCAGAAAGCAAATAAACAGCAGAGTAGAGCCATTTTTTTTTGTGGGTTGTGGTATTCAACTTATTAGGCTAGATAGCGGTAAAGTTTCCGGTCTGTACTATCCCTTTCCAAGAAATCTCGTTCTATGAGCGACTCGATTCTCTTCTTTATCTCCGTTGGGTTAGCCAGGAACCGTGGCTGCAACTGTTTGGTCACCTCTGCGATTATGTTGTTGTGGTCCAGTATTTTTCTGGACTTCATGATCCTCACAATAGCTGCTTCGATCTGAGGTTTCCTGTCTTCCTCCACTCTCTGTCTCGTCTCTTGCTTCTCCGGTTCTGTTTCCTTTTGGGCCACTACGGTTCCAATCTTCACTTTGTAAAACTTGCTGGTGAACTTGTCGTTCACAAAAAACGAATCCTCCTCTCCTATGTCCTTGCTCATGGGTTCTTTCTTTATGACGTTTTTGCCTTTTACACATGCCAGAGACTGCAAACAACGTTTAAGATCTGGTGCCGGGATTTCAGTAGCCTGTTCTATCTCTTTGTAGCTGAGACGATCAGAGTTATTGAACAACATGAGAACACACATCTGGAAAGTCGACACATTCAATTCATGTTTCTGACCCTTCCCAAAGACTGCTTTGATATCGGCTGTGCCCATGTTTGTTTGCCAGGATAATCTTCTACCAGTATGGGTCCCAAGGTAGTAAGAACGGAACTTCTCACAGAGAACTGACACTTCAGCTGGGAGATTACAAGGTACTGCAGGCTGTGTTGGCCAAGAACCAGTAGTTAGAACCTGAACAATAAGTGTTGGTCCTTCTGAAAGCTCGGGGTGACTGCCATAAAACCCGCGCATTGTGTCCTCTGAAGTCTTCATGTCGGTGAACATGCCTTCCAATTTTGAAGTGAACTGATAACCACATTCTGTCTTCAGTTTCACTATCAAACTTCTTTCAGCATCATCCGACACGGTTTTGCCTGAGAGAAGCCTTTTAGCCAAATGCTGCTTGTAGTACTTCTCAAACACATCTTTCTCTTGTAAATAGCGGAACAGCATCATAACTTTATCGAGAATAACCTCCACATCCACATCGGTGATACCCTTAAGTCCTTTGCGTAGCTTGTCATCAACAAACAGGGAGATGAACTCAGGGGAACGAGCATTCAAGTTGATGAAATACTCAAACGAAGAGTTTAGCGCGTTCTGAAATGTTTTATCATTGCCGAAAGCCGTGTTGATGACTTTGTCATATTTATCCCGCTCATCCAATAGTCGCTGTACATATTCCACCGGGTCCTTTGACTTTTCTGGATCAGTAACCAGTTGTTTTCCCATCTCCCTGAGATGTGAAGTCATAACATCTCTGACAGTAAGAAGACCGTTGGTAACCCTGCGGAACAAGTTGTACATTCTACCCAAATCCTCGTACTTGTCATTCAGAAGCATATTAACCAGACCTGAATTCTCCATGTGAACCAGTCTCTGCATGTGGTTGGCAATCATTTCTTTCTCAACCACGCTAGTAATCTTCTCTTCGCTCTTGGGATCCAAGTAGTGTGCCACCCTATCTATTTCTTCGGTGAGGCGTTTCTCTGCTTTCTTAAGGTAATCCCCACAATCACAAGATTCAATAAACTCCTGAGACTCAACCTTATAAAACTCAGAAGACGCCTCCAAAAATGGCTTCTCAAAATCCTCCTGATACACAGATTCACCCAAGTCCATGAACATCTTAATCACATTCCTCATCAACCCCCTGTCAATGACTTCACCAGTCCGTTCCTTCTGCACTAGATCAAGAAGAGTGTTTAGAAGCCTTGTATGTATCTTAGGGAAATGCACAACATTATCCCTCCATAAGTTAAGCCCCATCGGATGAACATGGGTCTTTTTGGTGCTCTCAATGTAAGTCCTATCCATGTACATGAGAATGTCCCGAATCATCTCTAACGCTTTGTTGTGCTCATTCCATTTCTTATTGAGCTCTTCAAGAAAGGAACCTCCCTGAGCTGCCTCAATCAGCTTTGATTTTTCTTTGAGATGAGCAGTCATAGTAGCAATAAACCCAGAGTAAAGCTTCTCCCCAAACTTGTGCAGGACCATGTTGTAGGCGTTTCTGGAGCAAAGAATGCAACATAAACAAAGCCAACAAATCATTTTGCCAGCCAAGACAACAAACACGGAACCTAGCTAAATGGAAGACTTAACAACAAAAGCTCAAACAAAGAAAGTTTCCAAGTACCACAATTTCTACAGGAAGCAAGAGAGCAAAAGATACCTGTAAAGCTCTTCGAAACTGAGACCGCTAGCATCTTGATTGTAAATCTGATGGATCGCACGCTCAAGAATCTGCCAAGTTTTATCAGCGTATTTGGGATCCACAACGACACGATGCTTAAACGCCTCTATCTGAAAATTCCTCTTCTTCTGATTACTCATTTTTGAAACCTGAATCCAAGCAAAATCGACTCAAATCAATCTAAATTCCATAAACAACAACGATAAATTGAAACCGAGAAGAAAGTTTTTATAGAATCATAACAAACATAAGGGGGATCGAGGGAATCGGAGACTGACCGGAGAAAGAGGGATGATCGGATTAGGGTTTGGAATTGTATTCTTCGCTTCCGTGAATAGATTTTTGAAGGTGGAGGAGCAAAGATAGAAAAAAAAAAAAGAAGATGAAGGAGAAGAAGATGACTAAAACAAAAAAAAAAAAGTCGAAAAAAAAGATAAAAGCGGACTCTCTGTCTTGTGGTGGTGGTTTCGAAACTATACTACATGTATAAAATAATTAAAGGTTAGTTATATAACAATGTAAGATGAATATTTCATTTGTTTCTACATGTAAGATGTTTAGATAAAACTGAAAAAAACTAAGAAACTATTTTTAAAAAAATATAATTATTAAATAATTAACTAAAATAAAATTCAACCAATCATGAAAAAAGACTACAAAATCTAAAGAGTTAAAATTACCAAACAACATTAAATTCTGTAAAGAAATTTGTAAAAAATCTTATAAAATGAAAAAAAAAACTCATTAACATCCTTTATTGTGGAACATAGGGAGTATATGACTATTAAATTTACTTTTGTTATTTTTGTTAATGAAATATGATGGCTTTTTAATATTTGTTTTGTTTTGTTTTGTTATTCAAACTATAAGATGAATATATGATTTTGTAGTGAGGGGACATGTGATAGATTTTACAAATACAAAAGATGAGTGGAGTATTTTAAAAGTTGTTGTTAATGATTAAATAAATTCATTGATGCTGTTAATCAATAAAATAAGTATACCTCTTGATCTCTTACTAAAATTTTTTGCTCCATTTCAGATGAACACAAGTCGCATCATGACCTCGCTATGTTGCTGCTTTGGTTCACCAGCCAAGGTTAGTGTTTTTATGCTTCTCTTGAGTCTTTGTTAGTCTCTTGATCTTAGCTTATGATCCTTGATGATGTCTTAGCTTATGATCCTTGATGTTTTAGCTAATTTGTCCCTTATTATATACTCCACAGATTGCTTCTAGTTTGATTATACTTGGTAAAAATAACTGTTTTTACAAAAACATGTGGAAGAGGCAAGAGATTTGTCCATATAAACTTGGTGAAAATCTCTTGCCTCTTCCACAGGTCTGCCCATTCACTCGTTTGATTATGTCTATATGATTCTTTTAATCTTTATTTACTTGTTATTCATTATGTCCTTATAAGCTTCCCTTAACTGTTTCTTTTTTTTTGCAGGTGGTTCAGAATGGGGAGCTTGATATAGCTGGTCAACTTGGTGAAAATCTCTTGCCTCTTCCACAGGTCTGTGCATTCACTCGTTTGATTATGTCTATATGATTCTTTTGATCTTTATTTACTTGTTGTTCATTCTGTTCATATAAGTTTCCCTTAACTGTTTCTTTTTTTTGTATGTGGTTCAGGTGGTCCTGAATCTGCCACCACCTCCTCGCATGGTTGGTGGGGTCAGGCGCAAAATGCCAAAGAAGAAAGGAGGAGCTGTTCTTTTTTCTCGGAAAATGCACGAGAGAGAAGAGAGAGGATGGACCAACAAATCGCTCAGGAACTCCATGAGAAAAATGTTCAAAATTTTGAAGGTGTCACTTACTTTAGCAGTAAGTAAAAGAAAAATGTTGTGCTATGAACTTTAAACTCAGTGTGTAAAACTTTATGAGTGTTTCTTGTGAGCGAAAACTATAATTTCCTTGTAGCTATGAACTTTAAAGTCAGTGTGTAAAACCTAATGAGTTTGAAGATGAAATAATCGAATTTCTTACATATTATTTTACATTTAGATTTGGGCTTTCTGTTATGAAATACTCTAAACAAAGTTGTACTGAGAAAGAAGAACATTACTAACATAATCTGAGACAGTAAAAGATTCATCCGAAATAACAAATGAAAATATAAGAACCGGGGTAAAAAAAATTCAACAATAATGTAAGAATGGGGATCGATTGGTATATAATTGATCTTCTAATACTGATGTAATAGTTAACAATAATGTAGGTAAGAAATTTAACAATAATGTATGTAACTAATGTAAGTAACTAATTTAAAATACAATATGGAATACTAAATAGTGTTATAATAATTAAATATAAATACAAATTAGTTACAAGCAAGAATTATTAGGGATAAATATCCCACATTGGAAGTTGAGTAGGATCTTAAGTGGTATATATAAGATATGGGCCTCTGCACTCATTGCCAATTGGTTTTAAGTTGGAAGCCCACAATCTAATATAGTATCAGAGCTCGGTCCGCACATACTCAATCCAATCCACAATCGGTCTGGCCCATAGTTGGCCCACCGATTCATGCCCAAACATATCGAGATTTATGGCTAAAAGAACCATCATCTCGAGGGGGCGTATTAGGGATAAATATCCCACATTGGATGTTGAGTAGGATCTTAAGTGGTATATATAAGATATGGGCATCTCCACTCATTGCCAATTGGTTTTAAGTTGGAAGCCCACAATCTAATAAGAAGATGGTTAGAAACTATGGTAATTATTTATTTGCTTATTATTCTGTAGAATTATTAAGGTTGTTTATAAGACTAGAGAGATATTCTCAAGATACAGTATTGAGGTTTGATCTGAGCTAGTGGGTTTAGCTCGTATCCAACCCTTGGTTATTAGTTATGTTAGTTTCTTTGTGCAGCCGAAACTCTAGAAGAAGCTCAGAATCCTAAAGATCAATAGACAGTATTATCACCGTAAGAGATGATCAACCTAACGAGTAATAATTATCAAAGAAGAAAATATTACACGTTTTCATATCTTAGATTCTTTTTTGAATTCATTATAATGGTTGTGAGGTAGGATGTTGGATATATATCCCTAGCAGTGTTCAATAACGTCTTCTAAGTTATAGGAAAACAGTTTCTTTCCGTGCCACTCATGCTCACTTCAAATCATTACATCCATATACCATACATGGGCCTCTTAATGTTACGACTTAGAGGGCTCTCTTTGAGTGGTCGTGAACATAAAGCATCGTGAACATAGAGCCTACCGACGACCATTTCTTGACCAATAGTACTTCGCCCTTCGGTTACCAACTTCCAAAGCTTGCTACCGCTTTCATGTCTCTCTCAAGTTCGAACTCAACAATCTATTAATGGAAACACTACAAAGCCTCTTCGACAAAAGTTCCATTTGCTTTGTAGATCTTTTTTTTTAGCTCATCGTCTATAGTCAGTCACTGGATTCGACTCCCTCATGACTTTCACAACCATACACATGCACCGACTGTGATCTCGTCTCACCTGACCGGAGTCGTCGTCAGAATCCATATTGGCCGGTGGCAATGTTATTATATAATTACTAGGGCTGTCAGCCCGTGCGTTGCCGCACGGGGAAATAAAAACTTAAAATAATTAACATTGTTAAATAACTTTTTCGAGTGGAAAATTGATTATAATTTTCTAATTGTTTATTTTTTTATTTAATTTACAAAATTTTTTTTTTACCTTTTCTATATTATGATATATTAGATTTGTGAGACTGAGAAAACTTTCTTACAATTTTATCTTTATCCTTCAAATCATATTTTTCTAATGGTATCGCTGCATTTTAATACTGATGATCCTATAAAGTCAAAAGAATTCAATATTTATGAATAACCATTTTTTACTGTTAACGTGCCCCCTTTTGCTTTATTTAAAAAACAAAGCTGTCAACGCAATTATAAAATGAACTTCTAGCTAATGGTCTTAAAAGTATATCAAAGATTCATGCCTTTTCCTTTTACAAAATCTAAGAATTTTTTTGGATACAAAGCTCAACTATTTCTAGCATAATACATGTTTCAATCACCAACGAAACATTAGTCACATTAAACTAATGAGACAACTCTACATATTCAACCAAATTCAACATAACATTATAGGAACATAAGCAATTCCTAAAGAAACATCAATGAGAAAGAATATGCTTCAATTTAAGAAAAAAAAGTTTTACAATGACAAATTATTGTCAATTAGATTTAAAAGAACATATATTTGGTGTTTTGGTGAGGCATCTACATATGGCACAACTTTTCATTGGACAAAGATCAACATGAAGCAACTTCTTA